CAAAGAAGAAGATGTTCAAAGGTTAAATCATATACATGATATCCTCCACAAAATTTTAAAAGTTGTACCAATGTAAGGATTTATTAATAAATTTATAGTAAATGTATAAATAAAATAGCATGTTTTACAACTATGTAATTTGAAGAAAAAAACTTAAAAAGTAATGATTTATGAATAAATCTTTTAGGTCAAGCGAACTTCTGTTACAATCCCTTATAGCAAGATTCCCATATATTGTTCATGGAACTCACACCCATGAAGTATATGTTTATGCATTAATTCAAATATTAGAATATGCACCTCAGCTGAGATCCGATATTCTATCTCTAATTATTAATAGGTAATATGTTACTGTATAATTGAATTTCAAGATTAAATCTAAACATTATGTTTGTTACAGGTTAATGGTATTAGATGTAAATATACCACGCTTAGAGATAGATAACAAAGAAGAAGACTTAATGGATGATGGTAGTGAATGTGACAGTATACTTGGTAATGAAAATAATGTTGAAGAAAATAATATAACAGAAACAGATAAAATACATCCAATAGCTCATAAATTGGATGTGTGTATGGAACTGATTCTAAAATATATGCATCACTCTTGTTTTGTAAATGGTGTCTTGCAAATAGAACATTTAAAAAGTCTCTATTTTGATATATTACAAATATTTGAAACAGTCGTATTACCCACTCATGCAAGTCAATATGTGCAGTACATTACATTCTATATTTGTAGTTTTAAAACAGCTGTTGTGGAGGCTTTTGTAGATTGGTTATGGCGCAAAGTATCAGATCCTAATACACCTTCTGTTATACGACATATATATATAATTTGCAATTTAAAAAAATAATTTTTTTTACACTATTTTCATTAGGTTGGTAAAAGCAGTGCAATTTAGAATGTCTAAATGGATACATGACTATATCAATATGCAAGATTACTCAAAGTACATAGACGACGAAAGTAAAGAACATAGTGTATTTTATTCTGTTTGTCAAGCATTATTTCTTATAATTACTAAAAGACATAATGACTATCCTGATTCAAAAAAATGTAAGTACTTAATTTATATATATTTCTTATTCGACTAATGTTCAACATAATCATTTACTTATTAATTTTCAGATATGTTATATTTACAAGAGTTGGATTTAGCAAAAATTATAACATGTAAATTAAATCCATTAAAAGCTTGTCATCCTGATATTGTGCATAATTTTGCAGAAATTACTCGAATGTATCAATTGGCATATTGTTATACTATAATTGAAAATAATACACGAAATCAGCTTCCAATTTTCGATAGTAAAAATTCAACAATATCTATAGTCGAAAATTTTTTCCCATTTAATTCTTATACATTACCACGAAGTGGACAGAGAATAATTTCTCTTTTGCGTCATAATGTTAGCAGCAGTGAATGCAGAACAACTATTAAATATAAGGAAGATATTGAATATATGACTACATATTAGGCTTAATTTAATACAGTGTGCATTTTAATGTACTTTCGATTTGTCATCATGTTTTCAAATAAACTATTTAATAGAAATTATAATTTCTGGTTTTAATGAATTTATAAATATTTATAAAATGCATCTTGTAATTTGTATAAAATGTAGAATTCAGAATAAAAAATGTACGGTTAATAAAAAAACACGTTTGAAATAAATTTATTCTTTTTCTATTTGGTGTGGTAGATACTAGTATGTAAAAATTGCATGATGCTATATCAAGTGCTATATATGAACATAATATAAACATGTCAGCTTACATATGTGATAATTTCAATATTATTTAATTTCATACAAACTTTAAACATTAAAAAAAGGAGTAGTTTTAATCAATTAATTGCAATATACTTTCTTTACGATTTTATAGAAATTTTAAAATTTGAAAAAAATATCGATTGTAATAAATTGTATTACAATGTTTAATATTTATTTTTACCCTTACAAAATTCCTGTCAAGAAAGCTTTTGAAATTCATTTCGAATTACATACATTTTTTAAATATTTACATGTATTAATTGAGTGAGAATTTAATAGTAGAATTAATGTTTTATTATTTAATAAATATAAATCAAGTATATATTGCGCCAATATGTTGTTGAATAAAAACAGTACCATCATGATATACCAAATTTCGCGCCGTTAATGTCTTAGAAAACCGGAGCCGGAAACTCTACTTCAGTGACGCAGTGGCGTAATCTTTTGCGGTCTATCGGTTGCTTTGCGATTCTTTCACGTAAACGGTAACGTAAAATGGCGAATTGGAATTGTTATTTACTCACGCGAAGTATAACGAAATAACTATAATACGATCTAACGAATATTTGTTATTGCTGAATTCGGGATTGTGTATTTACTTCTTCTTGCATAAGCGACTGTAAGTATTACGGTTGTCAATTTAATAAAAAATTTGTAATGTGTGCACTACACGTCGGTTCATATCGGAGTCGGTAATTCCGCATGTTTTTTCCGTGAAATTGACAAGAAGGCTGCTTTATAGCATATTAAGATGTAAACGTTTTTATTATTATTTTGTTGTAATTTTTACTTGAGATTATTGAAATTTTGAAACAAGGTTATGATAAAATTTTCAAACAATTTTACCATCGTCTATCTTGCACGTTTCAACGTTGAATTATGAATGTATTTTGTAATTCGTGATAATTTGTGTATCTATAAATGCATGTACTTTTACTATTATTTTATAGATTTAATTTCTAACAGATATAAGGAACCAGATCGATTTCTTTCTTCGTCTTCTAGGTTATGATTCTATGAAATTTAAATATTTCTTATACTCGTGTTGTTTCAAATTTTTATATGGCATTTATAAATACCGAAACAACAATACAAAAAATGGTGGTAAAGATTATTTTCACGTGTTCAATTTTATCGTGTACTTGCATATTATACTTCCATTTATATCACATGTGCAGTAAAATCTCAACAAATCTTAAAAGGTTCTCCATCTCATCAGCTGTAATATATCCTTTGTATTTAATTCTCTTGTTTACTATATCTATGAAATGTGTATTTAGTACATGTATTGTTACTTAAATAATAATTACTAAAATTTCTGGATATTTAAAAAGAAATAATAATATACTGTTAGGAATAAATTTTAATTATAGTGCTGTTACATTTTATACCACATTTCTCTTTTGGTTT